TTTAGCCTCACACGACCAGCATAAGTTAGTTAAAAATCCATCATGGAGGGGAAAGGACTCCACCAGGGAATGGGGTGGACATCCCCACCCTTGAAATTATTGTTAACTGAAGACTACTGGGGCAGAGGCAGTTTTTTTCAGGGGATGGCCACAGCTGTCTATATTTCTGTGGATGATCACACACCCATGTGTACAAAGCAGCACTAAACAGATTCAATCTCTCTCCCTCTCTCTCTCTCTCTCTCTCTCTCTCTCTCTCTCTCTCACACACACACACACACACACACACGTACACACACACACACACACACACACACACACACACACACACACAGCATCAAGTTGGAAGATGCATCCTGGGAAAATGGGGGAAAGTGAAGGGAAGAAGGGAATGTATTATGATCAAAATAAATTATATACGTGTGTGAAATTTTAAGAGAATGAATTTTTAAAACAGAGAGGGAAGTGCTTGGTTTCCAATGAAGCAATGCATACAGAAGCCCAAACAGACAAACAAACTCCGCCAAAACGAGAACACTAACAACAAAAAATTCTTGGTTTCCTTCAGTGAGCAACAAACAGATACAAGCTAAGTTTTCTTTCACAGAGCTTAGAAGCCACCCAAGAACTTATATAATATACTAAAAACCATCCAAATACTAGTGAAAAGAGGGCACAGGAATGAAAACCAAAAGGAACAATCATTCCCTCCCTCATACTCACAAGAGAAGTGCCATCTTTTAATCAGTGCCTACTACAGAACTTGGTAAGATTCTTTATGGATGTGATAAAAACAAAAAGAAATTTTCAAATTCTAATAAGCCTGCAAAGGAGGCATTATAGATAAAATGGAATATTAGATGCAAAAGGAATAACTTTTCAGAGTGGAGATATTGCTCAGTGGTACAACATTGGCTGAAGTACTGAATTCAGTCTCCAATCCTATAATCAGTAAGGGTCAGGTGCTGGGGAAAAGCACTAGTTGGTAAAGTATTTACTGAACGGACATCACAACCTGAGTTCAGATCTCTAACATGCTTGCCATAGCATGTACTACAACCCCAGTGGTGGGTAGGTGGAGAAAGGCAGATTCCTGAGATCACAGGCCAGTTCATCCAGCCCAATCTAGCTCCAGATTCAGTGAGAGACTGTTTCAAAAATGAGGTGGACAGTGATTAAGGAAAACGCCTGACGGCCACCTGTGGTGCCGTCAAATATATGAGTATATCTGCATGGACAAATGCGCCACATCACGTGTGTGCAACACACACACACACACACGAGTCAGGAGAATGGTGACAGAATGTAGTAGCCTTCTCATGTAGTCAATGAAAACAAGAAATGTTTTTACTCTAACATGCACTGTGCTTCAGACATTTGCCTTACGGTTCAGAACATAGTAATGCTACCAAACATCAGACCTCACTCTCCTTCTACAAGATTTTACTAACACCATCAATCTGTGTCATTCTCAAGAAATATGAGTTCAAATATTAATTAACTTTTCTAATGAATACACCCACTACAACTTAAAATATTCACATGCCTGCATGTTTCAGAATTAGAGTTGTTGATCAAATTTCTCTTTAGGTGTCTCTTAAAGATTCTCTCTTGTTTCACAGGCAGGCAAAGTTCCACAAGGCTCAAGAGAACCATGTGGCAGTGAAAATGGCATATTTACTTAGACTTCTAAGGTCTTAAAGCATAGTATTCCTTGTTTAAAGACTGAAAATTATAAGAACTTTTATGTTCTAATATAGTATATACACATATATGTATATACTATCACATGCCATATCCTTATGCAAACATGCAAAATAACCTTCTTTTCCACTAAGGAATTAGTCTGTATTGTTAAATGGTTATTATCCCTTAAAAGAAAAACAAATTTGGTATAATATACCTTAAAAAGGCCCCAAACTATAATTCGTTGGTATACTGCCATGGTGCCTCACACAGAAATGAACTTTAAAAGGAACTGAGATTATCTGACTTCATATAGATGAAAGAGTCTAAACCATTCATGTGTGATAGGTAAATGTATGTGTAGTTAAAATTATATTGTTTTAAATTACAACCTCATTTTATGTTTCAGAGTTTTATAGAGTTTTATGTACTGTAAAATCATCTGTATTAACCTCTGACAGGTTTATTCTATTAAGGAGATTTGTACCTGGGCAATATACTTGTTACAAAAATCCTGAGTATCATTGTTTGTATCACTTCTTTCTCCCCTTTCAACAATGAACTTCTATAAACATGACCTACCATTTGTGATTTAAAATGCCTCAAGAGGGATTACATCAACTAATCCATTTTAATTGCTGCTAATACCCCAGCATTTACTTCAGTCCTCATTCACAATTCAAAATAAGTGCTTACACCAACTCCCTGCCTACCATATATGAAACAGCTCTAGGTCTATAACCTCATGTATGGCCTTCCCTTGCTCTGGAGAGGGTTAAACAATGAGTATTGTAGGCTAAGCGAACCCAGGGGTCTTGGACACAGCTACTTGAGGAAGTTAGAGCACAGAAGTAGCCACAGACATAAAGGACACAGCTAAACTTAGTTGCTATCACTCTGGATTTAGGCTACAGAAGTAATGTGTTTGTGTTGAGTCTTGAGCTAAGTCCTGGAGGAAACACTAAATATTGTGCCACTCCAATACACTTGCGCTATCTTAACACCCCGCTTTCCAGAAGAAACCATTCATGGGCTTGATGAGTTTATACAGCTTAAGGACTGAAAACACCGTTCTTCACAGAGTACTAATGTCACTGCCCACTGAAATGACATGCTACCTTCTTAGAAAGCTATATAAGTATCTTAAGTATTAACACAACAAACAAGGACTTGCTCTGGCTGACCAGCCTTTCAAATATTCTAATACCAATCTCTCTTATCTTTTTTCCTCAACTTAATACTGATGTCACTGGATGCTATACATCTTGTCCCAAGAAGGTCAAAATATTTCTTTCTTTGTGTCCATAGAAAAAGTGAGTTCTATATCCCTTACTTTTGCTAGCAGAGTAGAAGGCAACTTCAGGATCCTCCCTCACTACTTGCAACACTATCCTAATCAGACAACTAACTGTCTGTGCTTAACCTTCTCAGTCTCTTTCATGTCAGAGCAAATCCACATGATATCAATCATATCATACAACATTATCACCTGAGGGATGGGAGGACTCCCTGATAAAATTCCTTTATTTTCTTTTACATGGAGAGGACTTACAGTTGCCCTTTATTCCTGCCCTAATTTAAATGAGGCCCTTTGAACTCGAATAGCCGTTAGAACTGTAGAGCTGCCAACACTGTTAACTTTAAACCCACAAATCAATACCAGAGGTCATCTCTCTCCAGTTCTTATGTGAAAACAGACCTTTAAATGGAAATGCCATTGGATTTCTAAACTACTATTTTGAGAAAGTGTTATCCAAAGTGTGTTATGAATTTTCAGTACACAGCATTTCTCTAACAAGGAGAGAAAACCAGCAGAACAGGATCTCTGTCCTGAGGGCTGACATTCTTGTAACAATGAAATCAAAAAAGCCAGAAGAGGCCCAAGATGATGGACCCATGGAGGGATGGAGAGTCAGACAGACAGACAGAGTCAGAGAGAGACAGAGTCAGAGAAAGAGAGACAGAGATAGAGGCACAGAGAAAGAAAGACAGAGAGAGATGTCAGAGTGAGACACACACAGAGAAAGAAAGAGAATGGGAAAAGGCTAAAAAAAATACTATCGTGGTGTCAATAAACCTTATTAATGATCTACTCTACAAATTAAAAAGTAAAAATTCTAATTATTAATTTTCTATTATATGATTCTACTGTGTGAAAACAAGTTCAGAACTCATTTTTATAGTAAAGTTTTGTGATTTTTCAAGCTAGTTAATTTATATTTATGATTTGATTTCTCTAATATTTTAAATGCATTATTATTATCAATATTAGAGATTGCTTGTCACGTGCAGAATCTTTGAAAAAATAACCATCAAGTTAGTAATAAGGACAATGGCTCTTTCAAGCATTGACACTGCTTTTGCTGAAAGATCCATCATTCTTTGTTTAAGGACAGCTGCTTCTCTCTTTAATCTATGACATTACACAATTCTACCCAACCAAGAGAAAGTTCATAAGTATGGTTATTTTAATTCACATATCCCTCTAAGTAGAACTTTCTAATTTAAATATGTTTTACTGGGGTAGAGATATGATTCGGAGATTAAGAATGCTTACTACTCTTCCAAAGGTACTTAGCACCAGTATGAGGTGGCTAATGATCAGTCGCTACTGCAGCTCCAGGGAATCCTTTCTCTGACCGCCATGGGCACATGCCCTCACAAACACAAAGCCACACACACATACAGCATAATTTAAACAAAAAAGTCAGTCTTAAATAATGTGTTTATTTTTGTACAAACCACACACTATGTACATGGGTACATATACACATGCATGTATGCTCAATACTACTAAATTTAAATTGCAAAGCTTTCTGTTTCATGACATTGCTTGTTGGTTTTATACTAAGCATTTATCAACTACAACAGCTATATACTCTATAAGCTGTTGTTCTGACTTCTAGATTTTTTTCTATTCATGTTTATAACAGAACAGGATTCCTTTCAACTGTTTAAACTTTACCTAGGAAGAATTCTAAATATGAGTTAAGTCTCTATTATAGTAGTGGGGGGGATTTAATGAAGATGCAACATTTTGTGGTAAAGCCCAAATTTCTTATTGTCTGTTTTAGTTGACAAATGTGTTCTGTATGAGCAATAACAGCAGCAGAACAGCTGGAAGGCCTTATCAAGCACAAAGGAAGCAACAGCACATGCTGCTAAGTATCTTTCTGATTGCTCAGAAATGGCAGCACATACAGATTTATTCCCTGTAATAAATTAGAACAATTATTTCTCGGGAGTATACAATTTCTTCATACAAGAGTCAAACTTACTGTACATAAAAATGAAAGAAACTTTCAAAAGGATATCTTCCCTTTCTTTGATGATCAGTTCATTCTGTTCTTCCAACTGCCGGATCTTCTTCTCAAAGGATTCCTGCTCGGTTTTCAGTCGTTCCTCTGTCACTTCCTTTTCTTCACTTACTCTAAAAGAAATGACAAAAAAAGAGGAAAAAATAAAAAGTTCACCAGAATAAAGACACATGCCTACAGCTCGAGCTCACCCAAACTACATTTCTGATACAGGATGTAAGTGGAGACTGCTTATTCATTCCCCGGCCGCCCAGACCCAAATAATCACACAAAAACTATATTAATTAGAACACTGTATGGTCTATTAGCTCAGGTTTCTTATTAACTAACTCATACATCTTAAATTGACTCATTTATATTAATCTATGTATCACAAGACTGTGGCCTACTGGTAAGGTTCTGGATTTCCAGCATCTGTCTCCTTCAGCAGCTACATGACATCTCCCTGACTCCACCTACTCTATAGATCTCTGCTTGGATTTCTCATCTGACTTTATTCTGCCCTGCCATGTGTCAAAGTGGCTACTTTATTAACCAATAGAAATAAAACATATATACATCATACAGAGGGGAATCCCACATCATCTCCCCTTTCCTGTCTAAATAAAAAGGAACATTTTTAGCTTTAATACAGTAAAATTACATATAACAAAACAAGTATCAAGCAATAATTATAGTTACAATATTTCTTTGTGAGTCTGAAGTTTCATATCTAATTTATCTTTTATCATAACCAAGGAAAACTATAACTATCTGTCTTCAACTCCATCAAGGACCCAAGAAGGATATAATATTACCTAAGTAAACAGGAAGTGCATTGTAAGCAACTTCCAAAACTCTAGAATTGGCAGAGACATCTCACTCCCTAGACAGTCACCCAAACTTCTTTTGTAACATTGCGGCATCCATCTTCAGCCAAAAGGCCCATAGTATCTGGCAGACTTTTCCATGAAGCAGGAAATATGAAAGGCTGTTTTGCCTATATTGGCAGTTTGTCAGTCACTTTCTTCTCTGGCCTGCAGAATGTCTGGCAGTTTCCTCTGTGAAGCAGGAACCCTGAAGGACCATCCTGTCTTTTGGAAAGTTTAGCAGTCACTTTTCTGTGGGTCCTACATGTCCAGTTCTTATAGCATACCATCAAGCAGTCCAGGCAAGAGCAGTTTCTTGCACAAATGGCTAGCCTTCTCAATTGAAGGCAAATTCCATACCAAATGTCTTTGATGCCCATCAACCTTTTGAAGTAATTGGTACTGCCAGAAGCAGATATGTTCCATTGTCAAGAAAAGTCTATGTTCTTAAAATACTTTAAATGTCATATTCTGTAGGGCTTTGAATTGTTGAAGAGTGTCTAACTAAAATACATCTTTATTTGTCTAGAAAACCTAACTTACATGACTACAAATTTGACTATGATAAATAACTATTAATATATAGTTTTTAATTATTAATTTTTAATGAATGTATAAACATAATACCTTAAACAAGAGTAGAAATATACAAATAACAAGATTGTCCTTACATCTGCATCAATAGACCAAGATTCATACCAATGTAAAGTATTCATTTCTATACCATACCCCCATTAAATGAAAACAAACATTTACAAACAATCATTTTGGGAATTTGGGCATTATTTTCTCTAAACTTCTTCTTGCTTTTTGCGGGGAGAAGTATTTTTAGGGGTTCAAGAAGATCTTTCAGGGGGTCTTGTTCCATCAAACCACATTAGCCTGAAAGGCATCCACAGGTTCTCATCTCCTGTGGAAACAAAAGCAGAATAGCTTTTCCAAGTAATATGTCTTCTGACTCAAATTTTGAAGTCAAGACACCTTTAAAATACATGTTGGTTTAGTTTAGCAACAACCCCACAACAAAATGTCTCTCAGGAGTTAGCTCATTAATAGTCAAAAATTTAAAGAAAACACAATAGCATACATAATCCCAATTCTGTATATTTTCCATCTTTGTGTAGCTTTTTTCTCTCCATTACTTTTTAATACTTATTACCTTTATTCCTTTAATCTATGACTGTCTGTTCTCTTATATTTTACTGTCTCTTTCAAGACATTGTTTTATTTTTAATAACTATTTTTATAACTCTCTTTTTTTCTCTTTCTCCCAAGTCTACATACATTTTTAAACATAATACATCTCATCTAGAGGTCTTTTATGTCTGAATTTGTCCTACTGTGTAATTGAAATACCTTTCTGACAAGGAATATTTAAAAATAGTAAGCAGTGTTGTAGCAGCAGCCATGGATGCTGGCTCCGCCACTCTTGGGCTATCAATATGGCGGAAGTACATTTACTACCAGCTCTATAAGTCAAGTTCACTGCAGCAGATTCAGGGATGCAGCAGGTTTATGTTGTTGCCATTAATCAACTTGCAGCATACTACACACAAACCCCATAAGTACTCCATAGCAGGACCTGCTGAAAGAGTCAGTCATTTGTGCAACCAGCATGAACCAGGAAGCTAGCTCTTAAAGTAGCCACACCTCTGCTAATGACCAACAAAGCCCATCTAAAAATATGCAGCTACCAAGAAGCTGTGCTTAACTCTGTTCTTCTACATCTAGAATCCCTTCTCAAGTTCTCTCACGTTTTATGTGGATGTAGTTGGCTAACATTGGCACCATTCAGGATGGTCCTTCAGAGTTCCTGCTTCACAGAGGAAACTGCCAGACATTCTGCAGGACAGAGAAGAAAGTGACTGACAAACTGCCAATATAGGCAAAACAGTCTTTCACATTTCCTGCTTCATGGAAAAGTCTGCCAGATACTATGGGCCTTTCGGCTGAAGATGGATGCTGCAATGTTACAAAAGAAGTTTGGGTGACTGTCTAGGCAGTGAGAAGTCTCTGCCAATTCTAGAGTTTTGGAAGTTGCTTACAATGTACTTCCTGTTTACTTAGGTAATATCATATCCTTCTTGGGTCCTTGATAGAGTTGAAGACAGAGTTATAGTTTTCCTTGGTTATGATAAAAGATAAATTAGATATGAAACTTTAGACTCACAAAGATAGAATAGATGATAGAGCACTGTCCTTAATTTACCAAACACAAATAGACTATATTGTAACTATAATTCTTGATTGTTAACTGGTTTGTATATGTAATTTTACTATGTTAAAGTTAAAACCTTAGTTTTTACTTGGACAGGAAAGGGGAGATGATGTGAGATGTCCTTCTGTATATGTGTTGCTTAATTGGTTGATGAATAAAGCTGTTTTGTTCAATGGCTTAGCAGAGTGAAACCACGTGGGAAGTCCAAACAGAGATATATAGAGAGAGTGGGCACAGTCAAGGAGACACCATGTAGCTGTCGAAGAAGAAAGACAACAGCCAGAACTTTAGGTAAGCTGCAGCCTCATGGCAATACACAGTTAAACAGAAATGGGTTAATTTAAGATATAAGAGTTACCCAGGAATATGCCTAAGCTATTGGCCAAGCAGTGTTGTAATTATTATAGTTTCTGTGTGATTATTTGGGTCTGGGCAGCTGGGAAATGAATGAGCAGTCTCCACCTACAACAGGATTCTTAGGGTGGTTCTGTGTTTCTAATTTACTCTCTTATAAAAGTCTTCAAATTTTTAACATTTATGCTCAATATTTTAAAAGATATGTACAGAAAGAAAAAATTTAGAATCATGGTGTACATTTTTAATTGAAGCAGTGTCAGGGCACAAAGTAACAATAAGAGTTCTCAGGCCAGGTGGTGGTGGCGAATGCCTTTAATCCCAGTACTTGGGAGGCAAGCAACAATCTCTTTGAATTCGAGGCCAGCCTGGTCTACAAGAGTGATTCCAGGATAGCCTCCAAAGGTACAGAGAAATGCTGTCTCAAAAAACAAAAATGAAAGAAAGAAAGAACGAAAGATCTCACCCTCCATCTCTCTTTGAATAGGCAATAGGTTAGTCAACAAAGCAATAATCTAAATAGAGAGAACAACTGGACTGGCACCATTAAGAGGAAAGAAACTCTGCCCAGGAGTGCACATCCAGTGCTGGCTTTTTCATTCTTGGGAGGGAGAACAATAGCTTATGCATATTTACCACTGCCATCACTTACAGACTCTTCAGATGACTTCCTCAAAACATCCATAAACTGTCCTCTTACTTAACAGGAAAAAACCCTTAGTGTTAAGTGACTGGAATAATAGTAGTGCCTGAAGGAATGGATTTCTTTTGAAATCTTATATTTTACTTTAAGTATTATTGAATATTTTATATTTCTCTGTAAGATAATATTATCTGTCTTAATATCAAAAGCTCTTTGTGGTGGTTTGGAAAAGAATGGCTCCCACAGGTTCATATATTTGAATGCTTAGTCATCATAAAATGGCACTATTTGAGCAGGATTAGGAGATATGGCATTGTCGGGGTAGGTGTAGCCTTGTTGGAGGTAAACTCTGAGTTTTCAAAAGTCCATGCCAGGCTGAGTCTATCTCACACACACTCTTTCTTTGCCTGTGGATCAGGATGTAGTTTTCAGCTACTGCTCAAATACTATGTGTGCTACCATGCTTCTGCCATGATGATAATGGACTAAACCTCTGAAACTGTAAAGAAGTCTCCAATTAAATGTTTTTCTTTTATGAGTGTTGCCTTGGTCATGGTTTCTCCTCACTGAAATAAAAGTGATGAAAACACCACCCTCTCACAGTAACATGTATTATCTTATGTTGTATATTTTAATACAACTAATATTTCAAAGAGAAATATATAGCTTTGAAAATATCTGATGTTCTATCAGATACTCTAGAAATGAAGGAAGGTAAGATTAGGGATTAAATATGTAAATCATATTGAAAAGCATGAACTTGAGACACTATCTATGTTCCCTGGAGACTGTGCCAAAACTTGTGGTAGATCAAGCTTTCCCCTTCCTGTGGACCCTCTTGGCCCTCCATTCTAACCCATTCCCATTCTTTTGTGTCAGCCACCAAAACCTGACAGCACTCTCTACCTAGAACCCTTGCAGGTCACACTGGACCTAGACTCTGGTAGGCAGTTTTCACACTCCTCTTGTCTTCTATTACATTCTCTCCAGTCTCCCCACTTCTCTGTAGTAACCTGCATGCAAGGGTCTGTCCTTCCACCCTATCTCCAT